TCATTTTTTTCTGAAGAAGGGTCCAGACCCGAAACGTCAGCTTTCCTGCTCCTCTCATGCTGCCTGGCCTGCTGTGTTCATCCAGCTCTACATCTTGTTATCTCAGACTCCAGCATTAGCAGTTCCTCCTATCTTGAAGACAATACGGAAGTTTCTTATCTTTCAAGGCCCAGAATCCTTGAATTTTGCCAGCACAAGGGATTTTCTTATTCTTCTGTCTGATGCTATGTTGAACTGTCACTCAGAAGAATTATGCTATAGAAAACATGGTAAACTGTGCCAACAAAGAATCGAATTTCAAACTCTTAACCTAATTTCAAGCGTAAAAATGTCTTAATTAATCTCTTCCACTGGCTTAAGCTTGGGGCCATTTAGTATCATGATACTTCTAACTAGTCAGGTAGGTTGAGACAAATGTCCCTCCAGTTCTTTGAGCTTCATGACTCACAATTTGTTGGGTGAACAAATGACACATTCTTTTCAATACAGAGTAGTTGTACAAATAAGGTCACATCTTCTTAGCAATAAACAATTCACTTCAACATTCCCAGGAAGACTAAAACAACGGAGAACAAATGTTTCTAGCGGAATATCAGGATGACCTTTTAAAATATATTTGTTCCACACATATACTGATAATTAGTAAATTAAAACCTATGAAAAATAAATGGTTATTGTTTAAGGTAAGTCTCAGTACAAGTTCCTGGCTTCAGGCATTTTGTGTATCTCTTAAAAGCTGACAAAGAGGCCTTGAACTGCACTTAATGTAATCATTAGACAACTGTTTGAATCTAGACTGCTGGGCATCTTTTAGCCAATTTAAATCAGCAAGACCAATTCCTTGCAAGCAGCTGCCTCAACTGATTTATTGTCTCATTAGCAGATATTCTCAACGTTTTAGTTGGTTTAAGAAAAAATATAAAAATATTGTTTCAAACCAACATAACACAATTATTAAGAGACAACACAGTCTGAAGAAGGGTCCCAACCCGAAATGTCGACTTTGCTGCTCCTCTAATGCTGCCTGACCTGCTGTGTTCCTCCAGCTCCACACTGTTGTCTCTGACTTCAGCATCTGCAGTTCTTGCTATCTCTAACACAATTAATAATTCTGTATCAAAATCTCACAATGTATTCAGAATTATATAAATACATGAGTTGCATTTACGGGCAGAAATTTTGCAAATATGGCTCCAGTACAAATAATAGCGCACAATCATGTTAATTTAGATCAATTAATTGTACATCCATGGTGGGTAAAAATGATTAGATATGTTGAAAATGAACATTTAAAGTAGTTATAACAAGGAGCAGTTCTGGATGGTTTTATGAATTATAATCTTGGAAGTCTACTGGAATGAGGGTAACTAATAATTGAAAACAACAAGTGCTGGAGATTACAGCGGGTCAGACAGCATCCATGGAAAGAGAGCAAGCTAACGTTGAGTCTAGGTGACTTCTTCAGAGCTGAAGTGAAGTCTAAAGAGTTATCTAGACTCGAAATATTAACATTCTCTCTCCATGGATACTGTCTGACCTGCTGTGCTCTCTAGCATTTGTTGTTTTCAGTACAGATTCCAGCATCTGCAGTAATTTGTTCCTAACCAATAATTGACATTGTCAAATTCCTTTCTGGAGCTGTTTCATAGGTTAAACCTATAGAGGTCAAGGGATCTTAAATAGATGGTAGTTTCATTTAAGGTCCATTGAAGATTAACCAGAAAATGGTGGTGATAAATTGAAATGCTGTAGTTGGAACATACACACTATGTTCACCAGGAATCTACTATGGGATCCGCTGCTGTTAGAATATCCTAATGATATGGAAAAATACACAAACAGGCAAATTAGGAGGAGTAGGCCATTCAGCTCAAGCATGCTTCACTATTAAGATCATGACCGATCAGATTGTAACTTCACAACTGCATGCCCACCTACCCTTGATAACCTTTCACCCCTTTGCTGAACAAGAGTAAATCTACCTCTGCCTTAAAAATATTCAAGCACTCTGCTTCCATTCCCTTTTCACAAAGAAAGTTCCAAAGACACTCAGCTCTCAGAAAAAAAATCATTACCTCTTCAAATGGTTGACTCCTGATTTTTAAGCAGTGTCCTCTAGTTCTAGATTCTCTTGCAGGAAGAAACATCCTCTCTTCATCTACCCTGCCAAGATCCTGTTTCAATCAAGTCACATCTTACTCTTCTAAACTTAAGCAGATACAAGCCTAGCCTGTCCAAGGTTTCCTCTGAAGTCAACCTCTCCATTCCAGATATTAGTTTAAGCTTTAGACTAATGATTTATTGACCTACTTTTCACCAGCAAATCCATGCAAACAAGTAGTGAATGTAGGAACTAGAATATCCTATCTTTTGTGCAATTCATGCAGTGATGATGATCCATGACTAATCTGTGATCAAACACCATATATCAATTTTGCCCTTTATTCTTTAGCTAACAAAAATGAACTATCATGTGAGCTATCTTAATTGCTGGTTAAACTGCTATTAAAAATGAACAATGCACCACCAATAACCACTGCATCGGTACCATACCCTATTTGATGCTGGGTTTCCCCATTTGGAAGTTTGCAGTTTCAATCTTTGCAAGTGTTGTCACTATTTCCTATTGCGGCAATTGCTCTTATACCTCACCATTAAGAAACACCTTTCAACAGCTGTCCTCCCCAGTCTGGTTTACGAGGAAACTGGGACAAGCACATCTACATTCAGTCTGGAGGAAGGACTGCAAACAATAATTTGCAACATAGCAGTTAGTGATGAGAGAGGCACCCAAATCTAAAGCTGGAATGCAGACTTTCTCCGTACGAACTGCTTAATTTACATCTGGTAAAGCACAAACATAGGAAGGGACTCTTGTTACTGTGAGATTCAACTTCCCCTCACCACAAGATGGGATGCATCATTCCTTTCCCTGATATACCCAAGAGCTTCATTCTGGATCTCAGATAATGTAGTGAAAAAGCTTAGATTACTGAACTATGTGTTATTGTGTGAACCATAGGAATAATTTCACTGTGGTAATCATTTACAACTTATTTTCAATTTTACAGTCAGAATTAGATGGTCAAATCATGCAGCCGGATGTTTCAGCTACCTGCAAAGGCAAAGTTCAGGAAAAACTTTCCAATGTCCAAACTGTGGGAGAAAACTTTGAAGCTGAAAATTTTCCATCACAGGAATACCCCAGAGAAACCAACTATGCAAGCCAATCTTGCTCTTATCCCATCAGTCAAAAAGTCATGAGTGACTCAATTGAGTCAAATGTGCTTATTACTGGACAGAAAGACAAACTAGATCAGCTTGTTCCATCCCTGGTGAATTACTCAACAGGAATTTGTACTTCAGCTCAAAATACTTCAGACAGCAAATCACTTCAGGTTCAAAATGCATGGACACAAACTGAATTCTCACTCATGTGTGTGAAGAGGTCAGATATTGCCATACAGTGCAACTTGTCAAATGCTACAATGTGTCTTTCATCTCCTGACAAAGAACCAAACAGTCTCAGTGGTGACAGCAGCAATCATACCATGGAGGACAATACAATCCATCAATTAAACACTCCTATTGTTTAGCTGAAAGTCAAAAATGTACTGTATTCACTGAAAAAGATCAGACTTTAGACAACCATTTTGAGGAAGTGGATGACACAAAATGCCTCAATGTCAGAAGAGATGAGAATACTAAAACTATCACCATATGCAATAGATCTCTGATCCCTGTTAACCACAGCAAGACTGAAATTCAAAGTACAGAGACTCAAAAGCTAAAGCCAATGCTTCAAAATGAAAGTGAAGTCTCTAATTTATCTGGAATTAACAATATAATTGATCAAAAGTAATTAGTCACTAAATTGCTTAGAATCTATAATAACCGAAATGCCATGAACTGGTAAACTTTATAGTCCTTCACATTCAGTTTCGTGTTGGGAATCTATAGATTACATTAAGACAGTGCTTCACTTTTCCTGAGCTTTAAATGTAACACAACTTTGTTATTCCATTGATGGCTGACTGCATGAATACATTGTATGGCTTATTCTATGGGAGACAGACAAAATTGATTCCTGGATTTAATCTACTCTGCAAGGAGTTTTCTTGTTCATAGATACAGACAGATGTTAAATGGATTCCAGAATTTTTAAACCTAATCTTTTGTATGAATGTTGAATTACTCAACAGATTGTTTCCCATGTGAACAGTCACTTGAGTAAGAATGCTGGTGTCAATGGAGCCATCCTGAGCCTTTGTATTGGGGAGGGGAAGAGAAAACAATTTAGACTTAGCTAAGACCAAATATATCTCCTCTAAATATTTTCTACCTACACGATAAAAGGGCGTAAAGTTTATGCTCTATGCACAAATTGGCATTTTCAAAAAAAATCCTGTTTTCTTAGCCTTATGATACCATGTTTCCCAAATATTCCACAACAGACAACTGATCTGGTTCAACCTCATTCACCAGAAACAGATCCTTCTCCTATCCTATCTCCTTGGGCTAGGAACATATTGATCTAAAATATTTTTCTGAACATGTTATAGAAGCTCTTGCTCTTCTATTACTTTTACACTATTACTATTCCATTCTATATAAGGAGAATTAAAGATTTTCATTATAACTGCTCTCTAGTTTTTGCATTTCTAATTTTCTTGTAAATTGTTCCTTTTTTAAAAAAATAACAGACGGTCTCTAGAACATACCATGTAATGTATTAATGCAGGACAATAATGGTGTAAATCATGGAGGAGGCGGCCATTTGACCCATTGGGTTTGCATTGGCTCGTTGAGGATCATGACTTCATGCCATTCTTCCACCCTATCCCCATAACCTGCACATTATTTAAATAGAAAAAAAAATTAATGTCTTGAATACCATGATAGAATGTGCGACCACCATATTCTCTGATAATGCATTCTAGATGTAAATCATTTGCTAGGTTTAAAAAGGTTTTTCCTGACATCTTATTATTTCTTTTGCAAATCACTTTAAATCTGTGCCCTTTTGTTCACTATTGTTTTTACAATCAGGAACAATTTTTTCTTCTTGCTCTGTCCAAACCTCTCCTGATTTTGAAAAATTACATCTTCTCTCAGCCTTCTCCTGTCTAAGGAAAACTATCTTAACTTCTGCACACTATGCTCATAACTAAAGCTTCTCGTCCCAGCAACCATTTTCTAAACCTCTTCTACAATCTTTTAAATTATATGCCCATCCTTCAGTAAATGTGTTGCACAAAACTGTACTTAAGATTGAAACTGAATACTAACAATTGACTTAGAACAAGTTCAGCATAACCTCCTTGTTGTACTCTATGCCATTATTGATAAAGTCTAGGATACTGTATTTTCGATAAACCACACTCTCCACCTGTCCTGCCACCTTCAAATGACTTATGCACATATACTCCCACATCTCTTTGCTTCTGTATCCTTTATTTTATACTGCTTCTCCATTTTCTACCAAAGTTATCATTTCTCACTTCTCAGAAGTTCGTCAGTCACCTACCGTCACACTTCACAAACTTGTCAATATCCTTTTGAAGTTCTACACCATCTTCCGCACGGTTTACAATGTTTCCAAGTTTCGCATCAACTATTGTAAGGCACTGCATTGAGTTGCTTTTGAAAATCAATGCATACCATACCAACATCGTTATCCTTATCAACCCTCTCTGTTGTCTCTTGAAAATATTACAGAAAACTAGCTAACATGGCACAGTGGTTTATCAACTTTGAACTCTATTGACTGAATATCCACTTGTTTCATTTTGGCCTGGTTAATATCTGCTTCCTTGGTGAAGATAGATGCTAACTATTCATTTACTACTTCAGCCATGTGCCCTGCCTCCATGTGTACAGATTAGAAATGTTAATCTCTCAGGATTTTGACTCAGCAACAGTGAAGAAATGGTGATTTAGTTCTAACTCAGAAAGGTGTGTATCTTAAATGGGAACTTGTACGTGGTGGTACCCTCATATAACTGTTGCCTTTGATCTTCTACGTGGTGGTACCCTCATATAACTGTTGCCTTTGATCTTCTACGTGGTGGTACCCTCATATAACTGTTGCCTTTGATCTTCTATGTTGTGGGTGTAGATTTCAAAGATGCTGTCAAAAGGAACTTGGTGACTTGCTGCATTGTGTATGTGATGTACAAGATACAGTCACCACTGAGATTCAGGGTGGATGGAGTGATTGATGAAGGTAGTAGATTAGATGCCAATCAAACAGGCTGTTTTTTGAATTGAAGCTGCACATGTCCAGGCAAAAAGAGGGTGCTGCATCACACTTGTTATAGATGGTGGTCAGGCATTGGGGAATCAGGTGGTAAATTATTTGCCACACAAATCCTTGCCTCTGATCTGTTCTCATAGGGACAGTATTATAATGACTTGTTCAGTTCAATTTCTCCAGGATGATTAGATTTTCTCTTGAGGTTGTAGACATGCTCACCAAGCCGTTGGGTTTGGTTGCAAACATTTCATCACACCGCTAGGCAACATTGACAGTGTGCCTACGGTGAAACATCGATGTTCTGTCTCACTTGTTATTCATATGCCGTGGTTTGCTGGGGTGGTTGGTATTACTTTGGGTTTTGTTTCTCAGTGGTTTGTACACATGGTCTAATTCAAAGTGTTTATTGATGGAGTTGTGGATTGAACAGCAGGCCTCCAGGAATTCCCTGCTGTCTCTCTGTTTGGCTTGTGCAATTATTGATGTGTTGTCCCAGTCGAATGTGTGTCCCTCCTTGGCCGTGTGTAGTGAGACAAGTGAGAATTAGTCGTGTCTCTTAGTGGCTAGTTGGTGTTCATGTATTTGTATAGTCAATTTTCGTCCGGTTTGGCTGATATAGTGTTTCGCACAGTCCTTGCATGGTATTTTGTATATTACTCTAGTTTTCGTGGTTTTGGGTACGGGATCCTTTACGTTTGTCAGTAGCTGTCATAGGATGGTTGTTGGGTTGTGGGCTACTCTGATAGGGCGGGATCTGAGTATCTTGTGGTCATCTCTGAAATGTCCTTGATGTAAGTTAGGGTGACAGTGCATTAAACAAGGATGATTTAATCTTCATGTAGATCTGGATAGGCACTTGGAACAATATGTTGTGAATCCAACTAGGGATCATGCTATTGTGGATCTGGTAATGCAGAATGAGGCAAGATTAATGAATGATGTCAAAGTAAAAGGTCCCTTTCAGCGTAAACTTGCAAGTATTATCAAGATGGATAGCAAAAGCTTCTAGTGTATAAGAAGGAAGAGAGAAGCTAAAGTGAGCTTTGACCCTTTGGAGAATAAATAACAACAGGTAACCAGGAAGTGACAGAAGTTGAATACTTTGCATCAGTCTTCACAGACGACACAAAGAGTTTCAAAATTACTAGAATATTCAAGGGCCCAAAATGAGAGGAAATAATACAACTATCACTAGAGAAAAGTGTTGAGGAAACTAATGATGCTAAAGACCAACAAGTCTGATAGGATGTATCCTAAGATATTAAAAGATGTACCTAGTGATAGTGGATGCAGAGGAAGTAAATCTCCCAGAAATTGAGATTCTGGAAAAGTCCTACTGTATTGGGAGACTGTAACGTAACACCCTATATTTAAAAAGGGAACAAACAAACTTAGGTAACTACAAGCCAGTTGGTTTAACATTTGTTATTGCAGAAAGTGTTTGAGTCTGTTGTAACGGATGTAATAGCAGAGCATTTAGAAATCCATAAAAGAATCAAGCAGATTCAACATGACTTCACAAAGAGGAAATCATGCCTGACAAATTTACCAGAATTCTTTGAGGAGGTAACAAACAGGTAAAGGAAGCAGTAGATATATCTGGGATTTTTAGATATTCAGGCATTTGATACGGTATCAGGTTTTGTAGGTAGTATAATAACATGACAGAGGATTGACTAATTAATAGAAGACAGAGGGAGAAGAAGGGTATGGCTACAGGATGGCAACCTGTAAACAGTGGAGTCCCACAGGGATCATTGCTGGGGCCACAATTATTTACCGTATATTATTGACATGGATGAAGAAAGTGAATATACTACAGCCAAGTCTGTGCATGACACCAAAATATTGGAAGGCATATAGTGAAGATGACAAAAATCTATCTGCCCTTTCCCTTCAAAATAATAAGAGGTTGTAGTTTTGGAAGCCCAGGGAATTTAAACTTCTGATGGGCAATTACCCTACATACCAAAAACTCCAAAAATGTCTTCAACTCTAAGCAAGAGCCAGACATTTTAGAGATCAGACACTAGCCTGAATAGTTACCTAGAAAATGATAGAAGGATTAAACCAGTTCTAAGTCACAGGCAAACAAGACCATACTCCCCAGATTCTTCCTGTGACCTCATCACCTGCCTCTCTGCTGACCCAGCCCAAATATGTCTTCCATTTCTTCCAGACCTGCTAAGTTTCTCCAGCAATTTCTAATCTTGTGTCTCCTCATTGTCCACTGCATCCTTGACCCACCGTATAGACTCAAACATTCACCCACTTACCCCCTCACATTCTTACCTTCTCCATGTAGCTTTGTAAAGAGGTCTTGGCCAATTAAACACGAGAAAACAGCAACTAATGCCATAAAAATAGAGACATGGCTTCTACAAAGATTCTCTCCACTATTGTCTACGAGGATTCCTATACTTGGAGAACTCTACAGGAACCTCCATCGAAAGAAAAACCCAAAACATCAGTTAAAGTAGAAAACATTTGACCAAATTAGAAGAATTACAGCCATATTTCAGACCATGAGGCAAGTTTTTGTTTTGTTATAGGGGTAGTCACTATAAAAAGGTAAGTTGCAATAGTGCATTGATGCTGCTGAATAATCATTTTTGACCAAAGATAAACTGGTTCTCCAGCAGAATGAAACATCTCCCAGATGGTGAACTCAAGACACATTCAGCATGGATTCACAAAAAGAGTATAATGCTTGACACATCTACTGGAATTTTAGAGGATGTAACAGGTAGAGTTATGAGGGGGACGTAGTGGATGCAGTTTATGTGGACTTTCCTAAGGCTTTCAACAAAGTCCCATGTAAGAGATTAATGCATAAAATTAAAGTACATGGGATCAGGTAGGCGTACTGGAGATGGATAGAAAAATGGTTAGCTGACAGGAAACAAAGAGTAAAAATAAAGGTTTTTTTTTCTGAATGGCAGGCAGGGACAAATTAAATACTGTAGGGATTAGTACTCGGACCCCAGCTATTTACAATATATGTTACTGATTTAGATGAGGGAACTAAATATACACTCAACATTTGCAGAAGACAAAACTAGGTCAAAGGGGTGAGCTGTGAGAAGGATGCAGAGATGTTAGAACGTGATTTGGACGGGTCAAGTTAGATGTCAGATGCAGTATAATCTGGATAAATGTGAGATCATTGACTTTGGTAGTGAAAACAGGAAAGCAGATTATTGTATGAATGTTGTAAATTGAGAGAGGGACATGTTCTCACCCAACAGATCTGGCTGTTCTTGTGTACCAGTTGAAAATAAGCACGTAGGTGCAGCAGGTAGAAATAAGGCAAACTGTATGTCGGCCTGCATTGCTAGACAATTTGAGTAGAGGAACAAGGACGTCTTGCTGTGATTATACAGAGCA